GGCCCTCCAAGGTCATTTACCCGGCCCTCGCTCAGGGTCAACCTATGTCTGAAACGACTTGAAAGCACACAATAGCAACAATCCTATCTCTTCAGACAAAAAGCAGGCACACACTTCCCATTAAAATACTAATAAGTTTATACTGGTGGGGTTGGGGAGGGGGGTTGTGTCATTTGGGAGTTGTAGTTGCTGGGATTTATAGTTCACCTACAATCAAAGAGCATTCTGAACTTCACCAATGATGGAATTGAACCAAACTTGGCACACAGAACTCCCATGACCAACAGAAAATACTGGAAGGGTGTGGTGGGCATTGACCTTGAGTTTGGAGTTGTAGTTCACCTACATCCAGAGAGCACCGTGGACTCAAACAATGAGGGATCTGGACCAAACTTGGCATGAATATTCCATATGCCCAAGTAGGAACACAGATGGACATTGAGGGAAATAGACCTTGACATTTGGGAGTTGTAGTACTGGGATTATAGTTCACCTACAATCAGAGCATTCTGAACCCCATGAATGAGGGAATTTGGGCAGACCCCACACAGAACCCCTATGGCCAAAAGAAAATACTTAAGGCCATCCAGTCCGACTCCCTTCCACCAGTATTTGAAAATGTAATCAAATATAGTTTATTCACACGCATAAAGAAATTACATATATTAGAAACCAACACTCATTACTTTATTTTCCAGATCACCAGACTGGGCCACAGCAATGCGTGGCAGGGGACGGCTAATATAAAATATACAAACATTGAAACAGAATTCATTATTTATTTATTTATTTACTTACTTACTTTACTTATATACCGCTGTTCTCAGCCCAAGGGCGACTCACAGCGGTTCACAACCAATAAAAACAGCAATAATTCAATACAATAATGTAACAACAATTAACAAATTAACATATTACCCAACAATAAACAATTACTACGTTAACCAATCACTATCGTCTCATTATCCAAAAACATAATCCAGAATTCATCATCCATTGTTCCATTCCTATGTTCATTGCCAATCATTGCACTAGTTATTCGAACGCCTGCACAAACAGCCAGGTCTTCAGTTTTTTGCGGAATACCATTAGAGATGGTGCTAGCCTAATGTCCGTGGGAAGGGCGTTCCACAGCCGAGGAGCCACCACCGAGAAGGCCCTATCTCTCGTTCCCGCCAGCCGTGCTTGAGAAGCAGGCAGGATCGAGAGCAGGGCCTCCCCGGAAGATCTCAAAGCCCTGGTGGGTTCATAGGCAGAGATGCGATCAGATAGGTATCTTGGGCCGGAACCATTTAAGGCTTTATAGGCCAACGCCAGCACCTTGAATTGAGCCCGGTAGCAGATCGGCAGCCAGTGGAGCTGGCGCAACAGGGGGGTTTCAATATAAACAGTATTAAAAATTCAGTTTAAAAACAATTCAACATAATCAATGCATATTCAAATTAAAGCCACAGCATCTCCTGACTTGATCTTAAACGTACATATAAGATATGTATGCAGTAAACATTAACGGCGCTCCATGCGGTCATGCAGGCCACATGACCTTGGAGGTGTCTATGGACAACGCTGGCTCTTCGGCTTAGAAATGGAGATGAGCACCACACCCCAGAGTCAGACATGACTGGACTTAATGTCAGGGGACTACCTTTACCTTTAAACATTAATGTGATGCTTAGACTTGGGTCCCATGACAAGCTGGAATGTGTTCAGAGGAGGGCGACTAAAAGGGTCTGGAGAACAAGCCCTACGAGGAGCGGCTTAGGGAACTGGGCATGTTTAGCCTGAAGAAGAGAAGGCTGAGAGGGGATATGATAGCCATGTATAAATATGTGAGAGGAAGCCACAGAGAGGAGGGAGCAAGCTTGTTTTCTGCTTCCTTGCAGACTAGGACGCGGAACAATGGCTTCAAACTACAAGAGAGGAGATTCCATCTGAACATGAGGAAGAACTTCCTGACTGTGAGAGCCGTTCAGCAGTGGAACTCTCTGCCCCAGAGAGTTCCTTCTTTGGAGGCTCCTTCTTTGGAAGCTTTTAAACAGGGGCTGGATGGCCATCTGTCAGGGGTGATTTGAATGCAATATTCCTGCTTCTTGGCAGGGGGTTGGACTGGATGGCCCAGGAGGTCTCTTCCAACTCTTTGATTCTATGATTCTATGACCAAGCTGCCTCATTAGAGACTTCATCACACTACAGCAGCTATCCCTTTAAATCATGTGGCTGCCTCCCGAAGAACTCTGGGACTTGTAGTTTAGTGAGGCTCAGGACCTTTCTTAAAGTCTTCTCCCTAAACTACAATCCCCAGAATCCTGCAGGAAGGAGCCAGCCACAGGCTTTAAAGTAGATACAAGCTCTCAGAGTTCAAACACTCCTGGTTCCAAGCATTTGGAACACTCAAAATGTCCACAGAAGCAGCAGTCAGCGAAACTGAAGGCGGGTGAGGCAAAGCAATGGGCCAATAGAGGCTTCGCCGCATTCAAGATAGCTGCCTCACGTAGGATTAAGGAAGCTTCCCGTCATGCTGTGCCGCACTCAAGATGGCGGCCGGACTGACCTCCCAACGCTGCTCCGTCAACCAGGCCGAAGAAGCGAGGTGACGTCGGCGCAGGCGCAGAGCTGCCAAGGGGGCGCGGCTCGTGCTTTAAAGAGGAAGTGGCCCTTTTTCGGGGCGTCCTCCTCCTCCTCCTCCTCCTCCTCCTCCTCCTCCTCCTCCTCCTCCTCCTCCTCCTCCTCCTCCTCAGTCTCTGTTTCTCTTTCTTTCTTTTCCTCGTTTTCTTCTCCTTTTCCCGCCCCCTCGCCCAGCCTCTCCTATGGCCTGGCCTGGGCGGAGGACGAGGAGAAGGAGAAGGAGGAGGGTGGCCGCCTCAGCAGCAGCCTTATCCGCCAGGGGAAGGGCCCACAGGGGATGGCCGGTTCCCACTCGCCTCGGTTCCTGTACGAGTTGCCGGCCTCTGTCATGTGCCAATTCTACGAGATTATGGACACCCTCGGCCGGGCGGAGTGGCAGCGCTTCGGTGAGTGGCTCTCCTGCCTTCCCCTCAGGGAGTGTGGCCGCCCCTCCTCTGAGGCGGGATCTGATCCCGGATTATCTGGCAGTGGAGACTCATATAATCCAGTTTAAAGCGGGTAATCTGGGATCAGAACCTGGGATAGAGGGCAGTGCAGTATTATGAATCCAGGACCGGATTATCTGCTTTGAATCCGAATCACCTGCCTTGAACTGGTTTATATGGCATTGTAGATTTAGGACCCTTCCAGACAGCCATCAAGGCAGATAACCACAATATCTGCTTTGAACTGGGTTATCTGAGTCCACACTGCCATATAATCCGGTTCAATGTGGATTTTATGCAGTTGTGTGGAAGGAGCCTTAGCTAATCCAGTTCAAAGCGGATAATGTGGATTATCTGCATTAATAATCTGGATTATATGGCAGTGTAGAGGGGGTCTGAGTTTACGTGGGCATATAATCGAGTTCAAAGCAGATAATCTGGATTTTGTATGACAGTGTAGAAAGGGGCTGAGTGTACACTCCCATATAATCAAGTTCAAAGCAGATAATCTGGATTTCTTATGGCAGTGTAGAAAAGGGCTGAGTCTACACTGTCATATAATCCAGATAATCTGGATTTTATATAACAATGTAGAAAGGGTCTGAGTCTACACACCCATATAATCGAGTTCAAAGCAGATAATCTGGATTATATAGCAGTGTAGAAGGGGCCTGAGTACACACAGCCATATAATCCAGTTCAAAGCAAATAATCTGGATTTTGTATGACAGTAGAAAGGGGCTGAGTCTACATTGTCATATAATCCAGATAATCTGGATTTTATATGGCAGTGTAGAAGGGGTCTGAGTCTACACTCTCATATAATCAAGTTCAAAGCAGAGAATCTGGATTATATAGCAGTGTAGAAGGGGCCTGAGTACACACCGCCATATAATCCAGTTCAAAGCAGATAATCTGGATTTTGTATGACAGTGTAGAAGGGGTCTGAGTCTACACTCCCATATAATCAAGTTCAAAGCAGATAATCTGGATTATATAGCAGTGTAGAAGGGCCTGAGGACACACTGCCTTATAATCCAGTTCAAAGTAGATAATCTGGATTTTGTATGACAGTAGAAAGGGGCTGAGTCTACACTGTCATATAATCCAGATAATCTGGATTTTATATGGCAGTGTAGAAGGTCTGAGCCTACACTCCCATATAATCAAGTTCAAAGCAGATAATCTGGATTATATAGCAGTGTAGAAGGGTCCTGAGTACACACCGCCATATAATCCAGTTCAAAGCAGATAATCTGGATTTTGTATGACAGTAGAAAGGGGCTGAGTCTACGCTGTCATATAATCCAAATAATCTGGATTTTATATGACAGTGTAGAAGGGGTCTGACTCTACACTCCCATATAATCGAGTTCAAAGCAGATGATCTGGATTATATAGCAGTGAAGAAGGGCCTGAGTACACACTGCTTTATAATCCAGTTCAAAGCAGATAATCTGGATTTTGTATGGCAGTATGGAAGGGACCAGAAGCTCCTTCCACACAGCTGAATAAAACCCCACTCTTTCTGCTTTGAAGTGGAATATGTGGCAGTGTGGACTCGGATATTCCACTTCAATCAGATATTGTGAGATTTTCTGACTTGATATTCTGGGTTATAGGGCTGTGTGGAAGGGCCCTGAGTCTACTCTACCATATAATCCAGTTCAAATCGGATAATCTGGATCATTTGGCAGTAAGGAAGGGTCCCAAGTCTATACTGCCATATAATCCATTTCAAAACAGATAATCTGAATTTTATATGGCAGCATAGAAGGAATTGTAGTCTTTTCACAAGAACAGACAGTGGAGTTTAGTAGCCTAATTTTGTATATATGTGTATACACACACACACACACATATATATATACCAAAGAAGGCTGCTAAAACACACAGTCAGTTCTTGTGAAAAGCCTAGGGCCCCTTCTACACTGCCATATAAAATCCAGATTATCTGCTTTGAACTGGAATATATGGCAGTGTAGACTCATATAATTCAGTTCAAAGCAGATAATGTGGATTATCTGCTTTGATAAACAAAATTATATGACAGTGTGTAAGTGACCTAAGATTCATAACACACATTTTGGTGCCCAAATGTTAGCCCTGTTTCTGGGTATATTTGTCCTGCTGATTCCTTATCTGCTCTCCTTTAGAAAACCATACCTTTGTGCTGGTCAGTGACCGTAATAAAGTTTTGTATTATAGTGTATTGATAGCCGTATCAAAGAAACAACAGCAGATGTGGTCTGTCCAATGCAGTTTTCTGAACCAGGGCCCCAAATAACCAAAGGAACAGGTCTAAAAATCAAGCTACTAGGACATTTTTGGTTGTGGTGTTATTATCATGATATGTATTTATTTATTATATCTCGCATTTTCTCCCTCAAAAGAGACTCAAAGTGGCTAAGATTCATACAAAGTGAATATTAAAACCAAACGCGTTTAAAAGTAGAATTAAATGTAGGAGTATTAATCCATTAAAAACATATTAGGTTAATACATTTAATAAAGGGGAATTTCGTTTTTGCAGCTTCTTCCTCTGTATGTCTACATATTTCCATATGTTTTTCTAGGCTAAGTATTTATTCCTTTTGAATTTTGCTGTAATCCTTTCTTGAAACACTTGGTATAGCTCTAGTTAACACTCAGATATGAATTCATAGATAGATATGCTCCTATTTTTATCTCATTAGAGTTTTTAACATTTTATCCTGTACATGTGGCCCGCCTACTGTTTACTGCGACTGTGTGTTTTGTTTATTGTAATGCTATTTTGTTATTGTATTTTTTTCATGTAATTTTGATGATGTTGCTTGTTGTTTATGTTTTGGTTTTATTTTGATGTAATATGTTGTTTGGGCTTAGCCCCATGTTAGCCGCTCTGAGTCCCCATTGGGGAGATGGTGGCGGGGTATAAATAAAGATTATTATTATTATTGGGTTGTTGTAGGTTTTTTCGGGCTATATGGCCATGGTCTAGAGGCTCTAAACCAGGGGTCCTCAAACTTTGTAAACAGAGGGCCAGGTCACAGTGCCTCAAACTGTTGGAGGGCCGGATTATAATTTGAAAAAAAACATGAATAGGATTGTTGTTATTGTTGTGTGCTTTCAAATTATTTCAGACTTAGGTTGACCCTGAGCGAGGGCCGGGTAAATGACCTTGGAGGGCCGTATTATTATTATTATTATTATTATTATTATTATTATTATTATTATATGCAGAATTAGGCTACCAAAACCAATTATCTGCCCTTGTGAAAAGGCTAAAACTAAGCTTCGGCGGTCTTTCACTATCTGTGTTTATATATTTTTCTACACTGTCTTTATTTTTTGGGGGCATTTCTGTGATCCTCAGGATATGTTTCCACTTGATGTATCTGACTGATGTGAACCCCACCCCCCCTGAAAAGAAAACTTAGAGCTCCCCAAACTGGAAATCTGCTCATCTCTCTTGAGTAGCCAATTCCAGTTCCATTCATATGAATCAATTTTGTTGTTGTGTGCCTTTAAGTCATTTCTGACTTATGAAAACGCTATTATGTTTTCTTGGCAGAAGTGGGCTGCTTATTTTTTTTTATAATGGTGTTTTTAATTTTTATTATACCCCCATATTTCTCAGCTAAACTTTCCCCAAGTAAAAGTCCTTCCTTACCTCCTTCCTTCCTTTTTAATTGTGTGTCTTTGGAGAAAACAGTTTACTAATCGAGTACAATAGGAGTCAGCAGTCTCTTGTATTAGGACTGGTCAAAAGTGGTTTGTGAGCCTTCAAGTTCAGCTAAAACTTGAAATATGATAAAGTGTTAGTTTGTTATTAGCATACACTGTCTCTTGCCTTAACTTTAAACATGGCAGGAAAGCGAGACCAAGGTTCGAAAGGAAAGGGAAATTAGGAGAAGGAAGAAAATGTAATGGGATTAGTTAGTCATTCTGTACAGTTCTCTTTTTGTAAAAAGAAAATGATCTCAGAGGTTATTGAACACATGAGAACGAGGAATTGATTTAGATTTGATTTTTATAAGTGTATGAAAATTTAAATTACTTCCCTGAAGAATTCTGTCTTAATGGTTTAAGTCACTAGTGAAGTGGTTTCTGCGTAGTCATCATCTTAACTGGTACTAGAAGTACTGTACATTATTCTTTAATTTAAGCTTAATTCTGGAGACCTGGATTCTATTAAAAATAAATACATACTAAGCAGATCCGGATTGTTTTCTGATTTATTTACTGATTAATGAACTAGCCATCAGCTTAAAAAGTTTGAGAACCTCTGCAGTGGATCGGTTTGGAGATGGTTCCCAAATTGATGTGAATGAAAGGCAGGCATGGTACAGAGAGGAACTCTGAAGGTGAAGAGTCTGGGGTTTTTCCACACTTCCTATCCAGCAGAAAAAATCGTTCCTCGAGAAAGTTAGAAAACATGAATATGGGAGCAGTTGTCAGATTTGTACAAAGTCTCAGAATGTGTCAGTCAACCAGAATGACAATAAGCAAGCAGCAAGCACTTTGGCTCCCATTAAGTCTAAACTGCCAAGGTGTGCTATGCTTTTAGGCTAGAATCAGAAGTTGGAGCAGTAGTTTTTGTAAACAAAGATTGCCAGATTTTTGGTAACTAATCCAGAAAAAAAATTAGTCTTTAATTCTGCTGGGTGGGCAGCATGCTCCAAAGTAGCTTTCAAAATCTTGCAGCAATGCAGCTCTCTTTTCAGGTTCACATCAAGATAATAATAATAATAATAATAATAATAATAATAATAATAATAATTTTATTTATACCCCGCCACCATCTCCCCAATGGAGACTCGGAGCGGTTTACATGGGGCCAACATGTTACAGCAAAATAAAACCAGAACATAAACAACAAGCAAAAAGTATAAACACAGTAACAAAATAACATTCCAATAAACACAATCATGATAACAGTGGGCGGGCCACATGTACAGGATAAAATTATTAAAAAT